GTGTTGGAACACTTCCCCATTAAAGTCAGCTTCCTCAAAAACTTTGGGAAATGAGAAGTATGACTATTAGGGGTAAACCATTTCTCACAAAGGACTCTTCAGCTGATATTTCTCAGGTTGGACGATCCTACGTCGATACTAATTTCACATCTCTTACCTGAGTGTGTGTTTCGATCAGAAAACTGAAGGCTGGGCTGACTTCCTTTAGCGCTGAAACTCCAGAGAAACGGTCCGAGTTCGTTATTGAACAGCAGTATCAATATTCAGCTCAGATACTGAGCTCAGTTTCCTCATTGTGTGTAACCAGGGGATACGTCATCAACAGCCAAGTCTGTGTGCGCCGTTATTATTTCAGCTCCGCTCCGTTGGGATTCTTTGGCAGATGAACTCCAACACAAGAATTGGAGAAAGTATCAGTATGCACAGGAAGTAATCACTAGTTGATTTAAAATTGTTCCTCTGTGGTTACACAGCATTCACAGGGCTCTGCCATTAGAGGTCAAATGAAGCCTTGGACAAAAACACACCTCAGGTTTAGAGAGACTTTAGGCCTTCCAGTTCTGTGCAGAAGACTAATTTATTGGAACAAAGATGTAACAAGAATTTAAACTGATTTTGACCCTAAAATGACCACGTTTGGGCTTTTACCAGGCAAGGCTGGTCTATAAGGGCAGGTGGGGTACAGCTAGAGCTGGGCGGTATGACCCAAATTTTATATCACGGTATTTTCAACAATTACACCGGTTTCACGGTATTTGACAGAATTTTTTTCCTCACAGCTCAGCTGATGATAAAATGTACAAACTTTGCTTACTGATTTTTTTCTTTTACTGTACCTCTGTATGACTGTTTCCCTCCTCTTGTACGTCTTTTCTTCTTTGCCTGGTTGTAGACAGTAATCATGCATTTAGGTCCGATCGTGAAGGGTTGAGAAAAAAGATCATTATCTGGTCTATCATTACGTGTTAATAAAACTTAAAAGGACGACTCACCCTGCACACCAGTCAACTAAATTACACTATAAAACTACTTCCCCCCGGGCTATTCACAATAGAAGCATGCTAGAGTCTCCATGCAATAACGTCTCCATTATAACGTAGCGCGTTAAATGTAACTGTGCACATCACCCAAGAGTTGTTTACTACATTCAGCGATGGTGAAAACTGGATGTTTTTTTTACATCAGACCATATAAGCAGCTGAAACACCACCCGCCGCCAGTTGTTCCAACAATAATGTTAGCATGCTAATGCATTTAGCGGTGCTGCGAAGAAACGAGTCCCCCGGGAAACAGTTAACTGGCAGCCGTGCCGAAACGTTCTGCACGTGTTCAGGCTATTTACACCGGTATTCAGAAAGTTCATATCATAACAAAAATAAAAACTGGTTTTCGGTACAAAACGGTATACCGCCCAGCACTAGGTGCAGCTACAGCTGAAATGATAAAAAAAGATAAACTACTGTCTCACACAGCAGTTACTCCTAATAAATAATACTTACTTAATTACATAGCTTGCAATAACATTTTATTCTGTCTGCAGTTACCAGAACTTCAACAGTCTCACTAGAAAATAAACACATTTTGCTGGTTTTAACTTGTTATGGTAACAACTAACACTAGACCTCACATGATTATTACTTAATGCAAGACTTAATTTTCTGCAAGCTGTGTCCAACATCCTGTTTAAAACTCTATTTGTGAGACTAAAATTAGAAGATACTGTAAATTATCAGTCAGACAGACCGAAGACAAAGCAAATCTATAAAATTTATTTTATTTATTTTTTAATCTATAAAATTAAAGAGAAAGGATTATTAATTATTTCTTCTGAGTGTAAAAGTTAGGATTTTAAAGCAACAGATCTGTTGGTTCACTTAAACAACATACTGTATCAACTGGTTCCAACTAACTGAATTGAGTAAATGTAACATATTTACTTCTAAAGTATACTGTATTGATATACAGTATACTTTAGAAGTAAATATGTTACATTTATATTTATTCTATGTTACATTTAGAAGAATGTGTGAAAATACAGTTAGAGACAAGCAGGCATGAGTTACAGAGAATTGTTTACAAATGAAGTTAAGATGGATAAGCTAAGCTAAAGATATGTGTTTTCAATGCAGTCTTGAACACAGGAAGAGAGGTGGTGTTTCTTAGGTCAGGTGGTAGAGAGTTCCAGAGGAGAGGTGCAGAACAGGTGAAGGCCCTCTCCCCATGGTGGAGAGGCGGGCAGTGGGTACTTGGAGGTTTAGGGAAGAAGAGGATCTGAGAGAGTGGGAAGGGATGGAGATGTGTACGAGGTCGGACATGTAAGGAGGGGCAAGATGGTGGTGAGAGATAGACGGAGACGGTTGATACAGTATTTCTGAGGTGGAAGTAGGCAGACCGAGTAACATTATTGATGTGTGCAGTGAAGGAGAGAGTGGTGTCAAGGATGATGACACCAAGACTCTTGACCTGAGGGGAGGGGCTTAGCAGAGTGTTGTTGATAGCGATGAGGAGATTATTAGATTTTGAGATTGAATTTTTAGTGCCGACAAGGATGATTTCTGTTTTATCGCTATTCAGTTGAAGGAAATTGTCTGACCAGTGATTGAGTTCATTGAGTCAGTCAGAGAGGATGGAGGGAGGGTGTGTGGAGTTCGGCTTGGTTGACAGGTAGAGCTGTGTGTCATCGGCATATCAATGGAAACGGACACCAAACTTGTGGAAAATATAACCTAGAGGAAGGAGGTAAGTAATGAAGAGAAGGGGTCCAAGCACAGAGCCTTGGGGCACGCCAGTGGAGACAGGGGATAACTGAGAATGGAAGGATTTTATCTGGATGAATTGAGTGCGGTCAGAAAGATTAGATTTGAGCCAGTTAAACGCAGTACCTGAGATGCCAATGGATGTGAGTCTGTTGAGGAGAATAGAATGAGAGATCGTTTCAAAAACAGCACTTAAGTCAAGAAGGATGAGGATGGACAGAAGACCAGAGTTGGCAGCAAGGAGAAGATCGTTGGTGATTTTTATGAGGGCAGTTTCGGTGCTGTGGTGGGGGCGAAAACCACTTCATCACTTTACATCTTTTAGTAATACCTCCTATTCAACTTTGTTTATTTGCAACATCATTGTAAAATTATTACTTCAAATCAAACCAGAAACCCAATCCAGAAAACTGTGTACATTTCAGTTAAACTTTAAAGATACTCCTGTTTGGAGGTTGGTGGGGGAGGCATCTGTTTCTCTGATTTAATTATTAGACTTGACTGTTTTCACAAAAGACAACCTTGACCTGAGAGAGGGAGAAAAAAGTTGGCACACAAACACGCACACACACAAGTTTGCACAGCTATCTAATTGGGGACTTTCCATTGACTTCCATTCATTTTTTTTTTTTTGGTAATTTTATATTCTAACCCTGACCATTTACCCTAAAATTAACCTCATAGACCCTAAACTCAATTCACACCTTGGTCCTAAACCTCTAACCCCCACTAAGATTATATTTCTTTACTGGTTGGCATTGCTCAGAGAAATCCCTTCATCAAAAGTTTGGGGTCACTCTGAAGTTTGGGTATTTTCCTTTTCAGATATATGACTGGAAATCCTGATGACATCACTGCTGTAAACAAAACTGGCTTGTTGCCAGGCAGGTGATGAATCACCAAATTTCAACCAACCATGTGAAGCTTTCAGATGGAAAATTTGAAAATAATTGTAAATCAATAGGAAAATTCCTCATTGCATCTCATTTTACCACCAAGAAACTAAAACAAATATGAAGCAGATATTTTTTCTTTTTTTTTTTTTGGTAGAAAACATAATCCTGAAAACTGATCCTGTTTTCTTTTAACTTTAATCATGTGCTGAGCTGGTTTATAACTAATACACTGTTTATAACGGGAAACATGGTTAAATGTGCTTTTTCTGTGATTTGATAAGTCTGTAATGTGCTTGTTGTCGCCCCCTAGTGGCCTGGCCTGGCTATTTTTATTTATTTATTTTTTGTTAGATTGTGTCAATAAATAAAAAATAAAAATGAAAACAAGAATGTTTGTCTAAAAGATATACAGAGTAATTTAGACAGTAGTGCGGCAGACATTTGTTTTCCTCAAAGTGTAATTTCTTTTCCATTTTTTGTGAACAGTATGTTTATTATTTCAGTTTTTTTTATACATTTTGAAACCTTAAGATACGTAAACTTTTACCATCCTTCAAATACTCCAAAACTAGATGTAGTGGATATAATTAAAAAAATATGTCAACTGGCCCCACTTTATATTTAACTTTAAGTAAACATAAAGTATTTGCCTTAAGTAAATGTAAAGTAAATGTGTTACCTTTATTCAGTTCAGTTGAGTGGAACCAGATTTTTTAAAATTAAATCTATTATATCTGTTTTTTTAGTGTAGTTTCTGTAAATTTGCAGACAAATTATCAGAATATTAATCAATAACTTATATTATTGTTAAGCAGTAAAGGTTTTTACTTGACTGTAGAAAAAATCTAGCCTGGTTAAAACCAGACCCTTGTCCTTCACGTAGCTTTAATATCTGTAGATGTAAAAGTTTTGAGTCAGAATAACTTCAAAGTTTCTGAACAGAAATGTTTCCATGATTTGTCACCAGGAAGAAATTTTGTTTTTCTTGTGTTTTTACAGTTCATGTATCTGTACAAACTCTTACTCCTCCTTCCTTGTTATTCTATGATATTATATTATTATTATATTATATGAATTTTATTCCTAAATGTGTAAACATGTTTTTATTTAGAGGAGTTTCTAATTCCTTCACCCTGTTTTGGATCAATGCGCCCTAAGATTTTTGCACACACTCTCAGCGTGGGAGGAGGTCAGATCCATCTGTTTCAACAAATCTGTCAGCATTAAAGCCTTTGGATTATAATTCAGCACATTTACAATGGTTGGCTGTTTCTCATTTATAATCTGAACTCATTTGGGCTCGTGAACAAAGTGAAATCCTTAATCTTTTCCTCGGTTTCTCCAACAGCATTTCCATGATGGGCGGAAGGCTCAGCAGCACATCGAAAGCTTGTGGAAGCAGCTGGAATCAGTAAGTGGCTCATGTTTCTCCTGTTGCTCCTCAGTTACTCTTCAAGTAAATTGGTTACAATTGATCACAAAGTATAAAAACCCAGGACTGTATTTAAAATGAATCGGTCACAAAATGTTCTTCAGTTGTTTTGCTCATCAGTCCCGTCAGAATTAAACTCTGTTTCTCTATCTACAACAGGTAAGATATTCTTAGCCTTTCCACAGAACCACTCTCCCACAGTTCTGCCGACAGCAAAACAAAATGAAGCGTTTTAACTCTCCAAAGATGAGGAGGCCTGATAGTTCTGTCCTGAGCTGAACAACACGTCTACAAACATGAGTTAACCCTCAAATAAAGTTTTAATGGGGCTTTTTATCAGCTTTAGACAGCCAAAGTTATCTCCAGTTTAGACGAAAAGCATGTTTTTAAACTATGTTTCGTAATTTATTATTGTAAATTCCAATATAATCTTGAAGCTGAGAAGATTAATGTATCTAACTCATGGTAAATAGAGAAGAAAGAGACTTTTTGTCTTTTCAAAACCTTCTACAGAGATAAAAGTAAAGTGGTGCTGCACAACAAAAATAAATAACTGCACAATAATCGAATCAATAATAGTTTGCCATCCGTCAGATAAACAGAAGAAGAAAGTTAAATGTTAACTCATGAACTCATTGAACTCAGATTGGTTTAAAAGTACCCCACCCTTTATTCAGACATGTTTTTAATTAGAAATATGGCAGAGATGTTAGTTTTATTCTATCAGGATGCCGATTTGAGGGATTATAAAAGCAGCTGTTATAATCAGTTGTCACTGCTGAAACACAGTCTTGAAGACATGACAAAAAACACACACTACCTCACATACTACACACAACTGTAACCTAAATACAACCAGACAGGAAGTCCTACAGAAAAAGGGACTTCCTGTAATGTCTTCACCTGAAAACTTGAACTGTAGAATGTTTTTATTTATTTTAGATAGATGCTGCTGTAAAAAAAAAACTTAGCATTTCCTTTAAAATTCTTATCACCCCATCCCTTCATGCAGGGTTTTACCCTGAGGTCATCGGATGAAGAGAAGCGATTGAGATACAGCCACTTTATTCAAACCTTATTAAGGATATCATGTGATTTAATGCAAGATCAGGTCAAATCTGTTAGCTCTCAGAGTATATGGTGAGGATGCTTCTCAGCTACTACCATGCCAAATTTTAGCTCAGAAACTGTAAAACTGACTGAGTTGTAGAAGTTTGTCTGTTGGTAAAAGTTGCTTAGCTGTGGCGGCCATCTTGGTTATGGCTGGTGCCAAAAGTTAATCCTGTGTAGATGTACATCCAATGATTATTGTTTCTTATGTTTCATTAAAATCCATCCAGTGGTTCAGGAGGTATTTTGCTAACAGACAGACAAACACATGCACACAGACGTGGTCAAAACAGTTAATTAGTTGTAGACATTAACACTCCTGTTATGTTGTGGGTGAAATTGACCCGTTTTAAAGTTTAACAATTTTTTAAGGAAGTTTAAAATATTTTTTCTGTATGAAACTTTCTCCATTTGTCTT